TCACTTCCTACGAAATACATTGTGTATTTAAGTGCCATTCTATGTGCAAATAAAACATGTAAGTTGTGCCGTTAGTTGCTCTCTTATCCTTTCACAAACTCACTTACGCATAACTTCTTTACCTGCAATTGTTAACATTCTGACCCAAACACAAAGGACGGCAAAGCAGGAAAAATAAGTTATGGCAGTGAAAGCGTAAGACACGAAGGTTTAGTGAATGTCTCGGCTCGGCCGCAGCCAACAAAGGTACATGCATGAAGTCAAACAAACCGACAAGGCCTTTAAGAGTATAAAAATTTAAAAAGGATTTGCATTTTTTACGAAAAGAAGATATGAGAAATCCGCTGTGAAAAATGTGATATGTTACGTACATAAATATTTTACTGAAGTATGGTATCGTGTATGTATATATGCGTATACATATATACAAGTTTTTATATATTTATGTAGCACTAGATATATTCAGGCAGTTTAAGGCTCTCCAGCGAAAGGACAAACAGCCGCATGAAGGCCAGTCAACGTGAGGTCAGTAAGTTCGCTTAGCGCTGGGATTAAATAGTCGCTCAAAGTCGAGTGAATGGCGAGAGTACAAAAGAGAATGCCTCGGGAGATAACGTTGGATTTTTGTAGCCACGAAAAAGCGGCTTTTAATGATTAATGCGAGGGAGAAAAAAGTATAAATGATACTATGAAAAAAAAAAAAATATTTTTTGTGGACTTGCAAAGACTGACTCTTGAAGTAAAAAATATAGGAGAACTGGTGTATATTTTATTTAGACAATTAGTTCCAACTTTGGTAACGGCAATCACTTGTTTAGAACTATAACTAACACTCTGAAAACCACGATTTGTCGAAGAATGGACATGTTCTCCAAAATAGTATGAAATATGGGATTTTGGATAAAACTAGAGGCATCTCTTCTAATGGAGCTGGTTTTGGAAAGGACCCCCAATTATAATCAGCATCCTACTGAAAAAAAAAATTCTGAATAAATGTCTCTTCGCAAACGCTAACAGACCAAGAAACTGTCAGTAAAAGTGATGAACAATCGATTATTCTTCGATACGAACCTACTTTTTACTTCAGAAACCAATCGGGTTCGGGCACGCGGAGTTGTTTCGCAAGGTCAGAAGACAACGGCTTATCAAGTCTAATGCTGAAAGACTAAGAAGCTATATAAGGATTAAAAGACCATGCATACCGTCCATTACGGAAAATATGAATCTGACAAACTCAAGCAACGGAACACATGCACAAGAGGCCCGTATGCCTCCTAAGAGCATCAAGAGGTCTTCGGACGCAATAACCTTCAGGCATTCAGTGACCGCCATTCACAGTGGAGTCATTAGCAACTTCACTGACTCCTTCTCAATAAATAGCGTACTTGGAGTCAAACCACCCCCCATTACAGACGATAAGCTTGAGTTGCAACGCGAATCGTCAGTGATCCTTGCGTAGCTTCGTTCTGTATACTGTAGCAGATTAAACTCCTAATTATCCAGAATCGACCCTGACATATCAAACATATGTCCGGCGTGCAACGAGTCCCTACATGACACTAACCACCTCTTTGCATGCCCTGCTAATTCTTTACATCAGGCACCCCTCTCCCTATGGTACGACCCCATCGAAACAGCACATTTCCTGGATCTACCGTTGGATGACCTCGATGATAACATATCTAATCCTTACCATACTAACGCGAATTAGGTACCTGTTAAAACATCAACAGATGAAGGTATTTCAGACCTGCTATTGCTTAAAAGTTTTCGCTACTTGAAAGTCCACTGGATCAAACTACCACTAGGTTCCAGAAAGTGGTATACCAATACACGCAGATAAAAGTTTAACCCTTTGTGAACTATCAAATCCATAGCCAACCTGCGTGCTTTATTTCAACTATCCAGTTTCTTCGAATCCAATGTGGAAGAGATTCCTCAGAAGGTCCTTGATGTGAGGTGTGTTCAAAAAATACCGGGCATTTTCTCCACCTCTCTGATAAGGCAAAAATCATTCGACGTCAATGTACTTTAGTAAAAGCGGTCATGAGAAGGGTCTAGGTCTATAGTTTAACTTTTATTGTTACAAAAGTAACTCTCTAAAACCTCCAATTTTATATTGAATCATCTTAAAGGAAACCCATTCCCAGTGCTTATCTTACATCCCCTTCTCTATGTTCTAAGCGAATCTAATGAGCTCGTGTTCCAGCTCCAAGATTAGAAGCTAGTGCAGTATAAAAAAAAAAATATTTGTTTCAGGTAAACATCGCTTTCGCTACTTCACATGCGACCTGATTTATATTGCGCTGTCCAGTGGCTCCAACTGGGAACTGCAAGCGTTCGCTGTAAATCCGTTCGACATACCTAGCACATTTCAGACGATTAACAACTTATCAACACTCGAGCAGCATACTGATGACCATAATCCATATTCCAAGGCAGCAATTCGAAGCAGCGGTCCATAAAGCATACTTAAGGTTGAATTGCGTTGAATTTTGAAGCGCCCTCATACACATCTATGAATATGTTATACTATAAGTATGCCACAATCGGAATGTATAGCATGCAGCAGCCATTCTATTACAACAAATGTGCAAATTTCTATGCTAACGACACAAACCGAATACACTGCACGCTGGTGGGAGTAAATTTAATAAGGATTATTCACACGACTGGACGGCAGCTGCAAGGCACGCATACCCACACACCCACGCACAGTCATAATGTTTATTCATAGTTAGGTATAGCATAACGGCAGTGTAATGCAGAGGTGTTGTAATTTGCTTTCGCATTCCAAATTGAATTCTGCGCTGTAAGTCAAATGCAGTGAGCGCGCGCACAAATTGCATTTGCTGCGAGATCTGCGGAAGTGTTTATATGGATGCCATGTGCGTTTCGCCCTGCAAAGGGCGCCCGCGCGCCACAATGCACTCACACACACACACACACACACGTTGTAGCACAAAACCAATTAATCGATTTAATGTGCGAAATTTTAATGGCCGAGTAAATCAAATGCAGCTTCACACGCTGTTCGGAGGTGAAAGAATAAATGTAAATATATATTTCGAAATAAATAATGCAATGCTGCGCTGCTGCTGTCAGAGCAATTGTACCGTTATTACGTTATAATTACATTTTAATTAATTTTTAATTACTGTATACGGCGCTAGACTATTTATAATATTTTCAACGGGCTAAATTTAGTAAGGGTTAAATGGCTTTAATGCCTCTTGGAGTGAAAGACACGATTTGGTGACCTCTTTAAAAGCTTTTAGCTTTTCTAGCTTGTTTGGTATGTTTGTATATTGAGAAAAAAACTTCAATACCTTTTCAAATACAAAAGATTAAGGGATCGTCTCAGTGTGAAATTTTCGAGAAATCGACTTTTTTTTTTTTTTTTTTTTTTTTTTTTTTTAAATTTTTTTTTTTTTTTTTTTTTTTTTTTGTTGCATTATGGATTAGTATAGTTAGAGCAGTAGATTGGCCTCAAAGAACGTATGATATCACACGGTTAGACTTTTTCCTGTGGGGGTCCTCTTTCAGACTTTGGAGCAAGTCATCATGCGTATCGCTCGCCAGTTACCAGCCGAAATGCTAGAACGAGTCATCGAAGATTGGACTCTAGGGCCAACATTTGAAAGAGATAATTTCCACAACAAAATGTCAAAGAATGTTCTTTCAAATAATAACGAAAACTAACTCTAACCTTGAATGAAAAGCAATACCATTTTGTGCATATACACCATCTGATCTAATTTGAGTCAGATTGGTCCATTTAAACTGAGCCGTTAGAAGAATGAATAACAAATTTTTTCCAGCATCTGTACTTATCAACATGTTTTAAGGATCGTCTCAATATATTTTGGATTATGTTTTGGGCATAAAACGTGTCAATTCTAGACTCGTACCAAGCGACTTCAATCTTTTGCAAAAACGACATCGAAAAGAGGTCGCAAAAGAGATGATTGACAACATAGCTCAATGCCCTACATTAATCGCACTCATCATCATCATCACTTACGATGAGACGTGGGTTTGCGGTAGGAATGTGAGGTGAAGCAGTCCATCAATCCAACGAATGGACTCTATCCAAAAACCTTTGCTGATGTTCTGTGCTCATCCCAGTCGAGGCTTGTAACAACCATGCAGAGCATTGGACTAAGTATTAGGATGCTTATATTGGCTCAAAAGTAACCTGTTTTGAAGATTATAATCAGATTGAGATATGATTTTTCTGAGTTGGTTTCAACTGTTACAGAGTACAAAGGAACTCTCTGCAACTTTCGGTATTATTCAACTTCTAACAGTTTCTAACAACTGCCATATTTATAAGTTAAACCATGGAGATTCCGAGTTCGTATTTAACCATTCGATATTTAACGCTTTTTATAAGTCTCGATACATTCAAAATCTCAAAATCATCAGCTGAAAGGTCGGTAATATGTTGTAGAAACTGAGCGTCTTAGATCTGAAAATCACAAATATTGCTGAGACACACCTACAAATCATTAAAATCCAACGACAGCCAAACACATTGTACTTTTCCAATATTCGGTTACGGTGTAGGCCATTTTGGGAAGCATTAAGCAGGCCTGAACATGTGTCAGTGCATGAAATTGAAAGAAAAGGAGGTCTGCCAAACATTTGTAAGAGAACTTTACAACTTTAAAGATAAGTTTAATCTCATGGCACTCCGTTATTCTGTACACTTAACTATACTGTGGAGCACTAGATAATCATCTTTTGAGTGACTACACAATTTCTTAGCATAAAGGAGGCTTTAATACTTGTATTTTACAAATTTATGCACTTTATTTTGAGCCGCGGCATTAACATAAAGATTATAATCAAAACTCCACAGGCAATGCGCATCACCTGAAATCTACTTGAAAAACACTCGTAAGTTCTTCCCTTCGCTTCTTTGCGATAATCTTAAACAACAACAAAAATATCTTTAAATGATTGTCTGCATAAAAAATCGTAAATTATGTACTTACTGATTTAGATTCCGTTCGTTGGAGCCGCTCTGCGATTGTACATTGTCCGCATGTCGTCGCTCCTTGTGTACGATACCCATTAATTTCATCCATGGATTATTTTGGGAGCCATGGCCTCCCATGCCGCCACTCTGCCACATCGTCATTTTGCCGGCTGTTGTTGTTGTACGAACACAATAGCAATGTACACAACAAACAACCTGAAAATTGGTGGTAGTGGTGGTAGTGGCACAACGAGCACGTCAACGCGTGTCAGCGTCTTCGTGCTTTGATTACGTCGCGACGCACTAAGTGGCGTGCAGTTGTGTTGAGTTGAGCGTTGAGTTGAGTTGCGTAGAGAATTCAATTGCGTTGACGATAAACGAAAATAATTAAATTATATAAAACACAAACACTCGCGAACGCGCAAATTTAACTTTAATACTTAAATTACTTTACTTTTTATATTTTGCTTCTTATTGAGAGCTGAGCTTTGAGTAGTGAATAGTTGTTGTTGTTGCAACAGTAACTGTAATTTCACGTTCTTGCAGCACAAATGCTTGTGCAGTCTGTGCAATCACCAGCGATTGCCATTTGTCGCTGGCGGCGTAAACGCATACGAGCGTGTGAAAATTTTCTGTCGTGGACACGGCATTGCACAGAGTAATCGGTTCAGTTAGAGCGGGTTTATTAGATTTTGCTTTTAGATTGGAGTATCTTTTTGAATGCGAATAATTAGTTGGCCGCTAATGAAAGTTTGGATTTTTCCTGCGCTTTTTTTAGTTAATTTAATTATAGCTCTTTTTATTCCACAAATATTTGCTAATTAGTGACAGCTGTTAAATAATTTGCAGCATAATTCTTTATATTATTAATTTCAGTGAACTGCGTGCTGAGTAACCGGTTTTCCAACTTTTTTATTTTAGTTAATATTTTTTAGGCGTAAAATTTATTGCACGACGCGTTAAAATATTTTGTTGTAAGTAATCGGTGTTTATGTGGTTAACCGGTTTTTCAAGTAATCGTTTTTTGCTGGTTAATCGTTATAATGTGCTTGTTTTTTATACAACTTTGTTATATGATATCTGACTTAAGTAACCGGTTCAAGCCAAGTAACCGCTTTTGTATTTGTGAACTGTCAGTGTTTACGATTTCTTTGCTGATTTTCGTACAACTTGTATTAGCTAAATTTTATTGATTTTATTCTAATTGAAATTGCTTTAAGTAAATATTTTAACATTTGTTATAATAATGACGCATTCATAGGGAAGTGTATGGATTTGGACTAATTATTTGTTTTGATTTTGTTATAACTTTTCTCTAAGCAGCGGCGTGTAATTTATGGGCGGCTGACGTTACGCTGGATTAATTTGTTTTGCAGTTATAATATGTATTAATTATTATATTTATTTACCCTTATATTGTAAGACTTTTAATTAACTAATATTTTCAAATTAATTTTTTTCTATTCATTAATTTTAATTAATTAAAAATGGGAGCCTATATTTTTAA